ACAAATAAATTTAATACGAACCAAATTCTATCTACCAAATTTTATGAGGATCGACCCATAATTGACCCTACCCCCCTATATATGGTCTCCTTCAGAAAATTACTTTAACGCTTATAACTGGCCTAAATATACGAGTATATAGATGAAATTCGACATAAGTAAGTTTCATTCGAGTCAAACGAGGTTTGATGGTGGGTATATAAGATTCGGCATAGCCGAATATAACACTCTTACTTGTTCTTCCTAATTTTGTTCATATAGAAATGGAAATGAATTCATTAATATCCAATTCCAAATTCCATATTCAGGAAAATACATCGAGAACGCCCCAAATATTGGTGGAATCCGGCCGTTGATAAATCTTTTCGTCTCAAAATTGCTGCTCAGAAAAAATTCAACATTCTAAAGAATTCGCAAAATACCAACAACTTGGCGCAGGCCATTAAAAATTTTCGGAAAGAAGTGAAATCTGCCAAAAAGAAATCATTTCAAAATAAAATGGATGAACTCAACAACATACCCGGTACAAAGACCTTTTTTAAATTCATCAATTCATGCAGATCCTCCCTGTCACCGAACAGCTACTCTAGATGGCAATACGATAACAACCAAGCATTTTTAGATCATCTCAAAAGTCAAGTGCCGGACAATACAACCAGCCAGATAATCTTACCCTTTTTTTTCCTCTGATGTCCCCTTCTCCACTTCTGAACTCGAATATGTCCTGCGTAACAAATCTAAACCTTCTGCTGCTGGTCCCGACAATATTTCATATGAAATGCTGAAAAGTCTATCAGCTACGTCAAAATTATCTCTTCTTCAAGCATTCAATAAGGCATGGCAACACTGTGGACATCCGGGACTCTTGGAGGAAAATCCGGATTGCCCCTATTCCGAAAAGGGATAAGGATTTGGATATATACAACGAATTTCTGATCACTGCTGCCAAGGAGAACAACCTTAAAGTCACTCTTGTTACTCTCGACATTGCGAGAGCATACGATTGCGTGAAAATCGACACGCTACATACAATCCTCTGTCAACTAAACATGCCCACCATTGGTCTTGCTGGATATATGAATTCCTACGTCCACCGCATACTGACTCTTGGTACCAGCAATGTCGATATGTATAACGGTCTTCCTCAGGGTAGCTGTCTAAGCCCGCTCCTATTTAACATCTACACTACAAAATTACACAAAATAGCTGATGAGAACACGCACATTTTCCAATTTGCAGACGACTTTGTAATCGTATCCACACACCGAGATTTTGACCTCTCTGTTCGACAACTCCAAACCAAATTAAACCTTTTTTATGGTATCTCCAAATCTCTAAATCTCAACATAAACTATCAAAAAACAGCTGCTCTATATATGGCAAAAGGAGCAAGGAGGAATGTGTCAGTGAACATCAATGACAATCCAATCGTAAACGTGAATTGTTTTAAATTTTTAGGAAGATACATCAAAAACAGCCTTTCACTCAAGGATCATTACGACTCTGTTGTTGGAAAATCTAAATTAGCATGCAATGCCATAAAAATGGTTACATCTTTCAAAGGTGGGCTTATGCCAAATATTGCGATAAACCTTTCTAAATCCTTGGTTTTCTCGAAAACAGAATATGCTAGATCTTCCACGGCTCACGCGCCCAAATATATAAACAAAAAAATAATGACATTTCAAAACAACTTACTTCGAAGAAGCCTAGGACTTAATCCCTCAACGCCTACTCACATAATTTATGCCCTATCACTCACTCTCCCACCTCATCAAAGAGCTCTCTATCTTGCATCCAAGGAATTGCTGAAAATGAAAATGTTTAATCCTGAGTCGTATCGCCAAATTGTTCAAACTCCGACGAGGAAATCGAGCCTGGGTTACACCTTTCTCACCTTCCGCAACATTTTTGAAAACACCTGCACGGATTTTACTACCACGACATCTGAAAAAGTCTCCATATTCCTGGACAGCTTTTCATCATCAAAAAACAACACCTCCACTGTGGAAATGAACATGATCTTTCGGGAAAAAATACACCACCTTAAGTGCGAAGGATATGCTATTTTTGCCACAGACGCGTCTGTCATGGCGGATAGTACTGGTTGTGCAGTATGCAACATTTCATGGAATCATAACTTCATGTTTAAAATTCCAAACAAAGTCTCCCCCTTGACTGGTGAACTATATGCTATCGACAAGGCGATAGACATCATCATAGAAGATGGCTACTCACACTCGGCAATCTTCACTGACAGCAAAAACGCGTGCCTACTTCTTCGGCAAAACACCTCCTTCAACTTCCTTGTCTCAAGAATCTTAAAGAAGATTGAAACCGCCAATCTAACTTATATTTTCTTTATCTGGACCCCAGCACATGTTGGTATACCTCCCAACGAACTGGCCGATTATTTTGCTAAGCATGCTGCCTCTGTTGGCTCCATCATAAACCCTCAGCTCTCCTTAAAGGATGCGTATGCTGAAATCTATACAATCAATGGGACACGGAATACAAAGCGCATCAGTCGGGACGGTATTTTCATGAACTTTTTCCTGAATTGCCGAAATGTCACTGGTTTATAAACAGCAAATTTTCGCCCTCTCAAATTAAAACCATCAACAGACTGCTAACAGGTCATACTTTCAACACTCCATACCTCAAAATGATTGGATCAATATCAACAGATCTATGTGAAATTTGTAATACAATTGACGATGATAACCATGCAATTTTTCATTGAACAAAATTTGACTCCCAAAGGCAACACTTCCCTTTTTTCAGGAATTACAACAGTCTTATGGACCTGCTAAAGTCAAAACAACACTTGGTCTACAAGGACCTTTTGAATTTCATAAATTTATGCAAAATCGAGCTATAAAGTCTCCCACGATCTAGCTGTACCACCTACCAATACAGCTATGTATAAACTAAGGCAGCTATGTATAAGCAAATTTAAAAACACTACCACACTCAAATACTAGTATGTATTATGTCTTTTTTGACACAAACAGTACTGGCATATAAGCGTTACCACATGCTTAGACAAAATAAACAAAAACCCCAAAAAAAAAAAACAAAGAAAGGTAGAAATGTAAGAAAAAATGTAAACAAAAATAAAGAAATAAACAAGACAACTTTAATAAAAATATAAATTTGCAATTTGTTATTCTTAAATGACAATTGTGTTGTGAGGACCTATAGGTATAATAAAAATGATGTCATGCCGGTGGTATTAATGGTCAGCCACTTATGTTTTCCCGAGGGCTGGAATGTGTAAGTACAGCTACTAACTAAAACCACATCCCGTATTCACTAGTTTGTCAGTACCAAATGTGTTTTCATTTAGAACAACGTACCCGTCACATGTGTTGTTTTCAAAGTTTAATTAATGCCAAAAATTTTTCGCTAACGAAGTAGCGGGCAGCAAGCCAATTTTAGACACCGTTTTCATCCCTTCATTACCCGAATTTCTAAAAAGTACCGAAAGGATTTCTAATAGACTTTAATTATAATAGGATAAATTTAAAGTTTTATTTGCATGGTCATTTGTTTCGAACATAAATAGGTTAAGAGAAGGTTCTATGGGGACAGTTTTTACCCTTTTAGCTCTATAAAGTCTAGATTTAAAAAAAAAAGTACCAGACACCTATCAATTATTTCTTTGTATAATAGAGGATACATTAGGAATTTTATTTATATCTTTGCTTCTTTAGGAGATATAAAGGATACTAATTTTATCCTTTTTTACCCATTTCTTCCCCTAAACGTAATCCCTTCTTAGTGGATCTATACAATGCCAAAGGAACCTATAACCAAAATTTCATGATTCTAGCTTTAACGGTTTGGGCTGGGCGATGATGAATCAGTCAGTCAATCAGTCACGCAAGCCTTTTATATATAGATTGAGAGAAGGAGAATGGATAGTTAGCTGCTGGTTTCATACCTACATCCTGTACAAAAATATTTTAACAGATTAAAGGTGAGTCAGAATAATTATGAATTTTACGTACATAGTTGTTTAACTAATTAAAATTTTCCTCGGATATTATTATTAGTCTACTAAACTCACCTGCAAACAAATCAACTGTAGTAACAGTATTACATTCGACACCGTTACAACTGGAACCATTTTTTTCTTTTCCGTACACTACCCACGGTGAACCAGAATTCAACGAACACATAAATCCTATGTCGCAAAACAGAATTTGGATGTAAAACCATTTGCAGGGCGATTTAATACGATTAACCTTAGAATCCAATACGCATATATTAGGATACATCCCACCAACAAGGGCGGCTTTAATGACAGAACAATTCGATTTGAGATTTATATAATGCATACTAAGATCAACTTTGCTATATATTAATTGTGATGATCTTAAGGATCCAACCAATTGAGTACGGATATTGCAGTCCTGTTCCAACAGGCCATTCAAAATGAAATTATATTAAAATCAAAAACCAATTCCTCATTTCTAAAGTTATTTTTCCATTCTATTATAGATTATTTCATGGCAGAATAATTTGTCCAGTTTGTTTTTTCAACTTTAGCAGTCGTTTTCAAAACAACAACAAAAAGCCATCACTATACCCCCAAAGGTAGGTAAATAACAAGGAATATTTTGGAAGTCAACAAGTATTTATCCTCTAATGTTTACATTTAACACAATCATTTAAAATAAAACTAAACATCTCTAGCATGATGTAATAACTTAGTGCATCCTGATCTCTAGTATATTTTCCCAAATAAAAGGTTTTTGAAAATACATATGATTATTACTTACAGAATATCAAGAAGATCTACATATGTCACATTTAAAGCAAAAAATGCAACTTTAACAGTCCATTAGCCCATTCCGCAAGAGCAACGCCATGTAGATAATCCGGATTAAATGAATACGAGATGACAAAAGTTAATTTATTTTCAATAGCAGTTGGCGGTAACATGGCAGCGGGAAAAAGTTGCAGTAAAGAGGCCTTCCTAAAGGCATTATGCACTATAATATGAGACTTTTGGTTACTTTTTCGATCTTTTACTGGTATTAATTAAACGTTTAATGAGAATATACAACATGGAACGATAAAGTGTTCTTCAAAAGGTACTTTTTGATTTTTCTATAATATTGAACCTAGAAACATGAAATTGAACATGAAGGGTCCACAGTGTGTGAGTATATAAATGCGATCTTTTAGTACTTTTTCGTTCTTCAACGAATACCTTTTATGTTTTCTTTAATATAAGAGGACTTTTTGGGTACTTTGTAGTTTTTCAAAGGGTGTTTTTTTTGCTTTTCAATAATATTGGTCAGAAACATAAAATTAACCACGCAGGGTTCTGTTCATGGAAATCTGTATGAATGTTCTTCAGCTGGTACTTTTGAGTTTTCTATAATATTGAAATATAAATTAAAAAATAAGTGTTTTTGGTTCTTTTTTGTTTCGTTTTCGTAGAAACATAAAATATGGAGTGAATGGAAATCTATAGGAAGGGACTTTTGGTACTTTTTCGCTCTACTTTCTGATTTTTCTATATAATTGGACTTAGAGGCATAAAATTAAACACGCAGGGTTCCAGTTGAATGGAAATCTGCACAAAGGGAATAATTTTTACCTTTTCGTTCCTCATCCAGTAATTTTGGAGATTTCTAAAGTAGTTGTATGATAGAAACAATATAATTTGTTTTTATACATATATCGTCACATAAAACGCAAAAATCCCTATTTAACATTTTTTAAATTCTACAGGAGAAGCAAAAAACTATTTAAAATGGAAAGTTTAGTTTCAATCAGCGCGATTTGTTTTTCTTCAAAAGACATTTTTAACGGTAAATTTCTCAGTTGTTTTGACAATTTACAATTTGTATTTACAAATGATTAGTTACGTCTTTTAGCCTTTATATAAAACTGCTTTTGAAGATAGGGCCCTTTTGAACATTTGGCTTGATGTAATACATAAGAAAATGAAAATGTCGATTTTGAATTTTTTTTAGTTAGGGCCGTTTTAGTTTTAGGTATGTAGGCAAAGTCACAAAGTTGCACGTAGCTCTGTCCTGTTAATCCAAAATCTCGGATGTTTATGAAAATGAATTTATTTAAATTAGAGTAAAAAGGTGATATGAAGTGATAAAAATAAGTTTAATAAATTGTATGATATTTTGAGAATACAAAACTTCAGTAATTACATATGTGAAAATTTTTTACATATGTATATTCCATATTAATTAAAAAATCGTTTAATGTGTGTGACAAACCTTAGCTTTTAATGTGGAAACGGCACGCTGGTGGTCGCACAACGCAAGCTCGTCGGATGGGGGTAGGATCTTTCCACCATAGTTTGGTCACATTTAAAATATCGTGCCATTGTCAAATATGTTATAATGAAATAAAAATTACAATCGAAATTTCTATTAGTCAGATGGACAAATGACAACTATGTTAATAACAATCTATAGTCCCATAGTCTTTGAAGGAAATGGTGTTATGACCTTCACGGACTTCCCTCCCTTAACATGGCAATGTTTCAGCCATCCTTGGTCCCAGTTCATCCGTCCTGTAATTGTCTGGAACCCTAACAATAACTTACCAACTAATCATGATTCACATCATTACCTCTTTACTTATTAGCTTTCCATTATCATTAATATACTGTTTGTTTCAAAATATCGTAATACATACAAATATTTGTTTTTATTTTCTAATAAACAGAATTCGTAACGAAGCTAACATACAATATATAAATTTCCTTAGGATTATAACAAAAGTTATTACGATAAAGAATTTAACAGATTGAACTTCAAAATAAATCAGTTATTTTTATATTTAGAATAGAATATAAATTAGAGATTCTAATATTTTTTTTGTATATTAATCGCAAAAAAAAAAAACATATTTGTATGAAAGTTTTATATGAAGAAATTAAATTGTACACAAAAAATATTAGAATTTACAACAAAAAAAAATAATAATTTTCCTTTTTTGTTTTAATTTATATTAAATATGAATTAACTATAATTCAGATTATTAAACTTAAATCATTCTTTTTTTTTTTTTTTAGATTAACGTGAGGGTATTAAGGTTTTATATCATGCTTGTTTGTTTTTCATTATGTTATTTAGTACATTCTTATTTGTTTATTTATTTATTTATTTATATATTTATTCATTATATATTCATTTATTTATTTAATAATTTATTTATTAATTTATTTATTTATTTATTTGTAGATTTATTTATTATATATTCATTTATTTATTTAATAATTTATTTATTAATTTATTTATTAATTTATTTATTTACTTATTTATTTGTATATTTATTATTTATTTGTTTATTTTAACATTATTTTAACTTAATGTTAATGTTATGAGAAAAATATAAATCTCAAAACTATTAAAATTTAAAATAAGTTAATTTTTGTTCAAATACATTGCCATAAAACAAACGTGTTTGTATTGAAAATCCAAAAATAAGTATTACTTATTTTACTCTTATGCAAAAAAAAATTGTTATTATAGAAATATTATAAATTATAATTGAAAATACAAAAAGAAAGTAATATGTCTGAATATTTTATATTCTACTTTAACACTGATTTTAAAACCCTTTTTTCTTTTTGTTTGAATTTTTTTTTTTAATGTAATTCGAAAAAATATAATATATATGTATATCTTTTATCTTTAGACTTTTAATTGAAGTATATATATATATATATTTTTTTTTTTTTTGGTTTCATTAATAAGTTGTAATTAATTAGATTTATTATTTATATTTAGATCAATTAATATCTTAATAAATTTAATTTAAGAAAAATAATTAAGATACACGGAAACATAAAAACATGTAACATAAAGTTTGGTTAGGTTCATTTTTTTTTAACGGTCACGTTTTATATTTTCAAGGTGACTCATTCTTTTATACATTCAGTATTTAAAGGTCATAGGAGTCATTAAAATTTCACCAGTGTAGTCTTATGGTATTTCTTTTTTTTAACGGCTTACCCTGATTTTCCTTCAAGTTGTTTTACCGTGCACTATATTTATTCCTCCACTGTTCTATTCGTCAAATTTTACCAGTATTCTGGGTTGTTGTCCTTGATGATATATTTGGGATTAAGGGTCTCATTTTATAAAACGAAACGACAAACGTTCAAAAAAATTTGTATGGAAAAAATTCAAATTTTCATAAATTTCCCAGTATTCTTCATACAAATTTTTTACGTTAACGAAAGTTTCGTTTTATAAAATGAGGGGGTAATATCCGTGGGATTTTTTGGAATTAATTTTGCCCGAAATACCTTGAGCTGTCTCTGTCTTTACTAAGCGATAAGATCTACGCAATTTCTCACTCACAGATGGCTCTGCGACACTGATGATTCCTTTTGTATAAAGCATAAACTTAATTATTACATTATTCAAGTTTTATTAATACTATTGATGATTTTATGCAATAGAAATTATGCAATACTTAAAATGCAATCATATAAGTAATTGATATTTAAGTACAGCATTTACTTTATTACATAATTTCATATAATCTTTGATTACTATTTAAAAAAAACTCATTTGTGTTACCTGTGATTGATGTTAAAATCGTTGCAATAAATATGTGTTTAAATTAGATTAATAGTTTATGACTTTATTCAATTAACTTTGACTTTTAATTATACTGTATAATGCCTTTCACTACTACTGACTATTACTCAACTTTCACTTTCACGTGTCAAAAACATAATGACCGACGTGATCTTGTGAGTATTATGTTAATGTCACCCTAGACGATCATAAACCCACCACCCCTCGGTTTTTTTCTTTTACTATTACATCGTTTTCCCAAGATCATTGTAAGGTCATTACATGATATTTTTCGTCAAGTGCATCCTATTGTGAATTGTACTATAAAAGTCAATAACTCCACTGCCCCCTGTATGTCATGATCATAACTCTACAAGGGTAGATGACAGTTCTCCAAAAAAAAAAAAAAAACATAAACAAAGAAAGGTAGATAGAAAGATAGCAAGGTTGCGATCAGACGTCTACTCAGTGTTCGTGCTGCTTTTTTAAAGTCAATTTTTTTTCTGTTTTGCTGCCGTTATAACGGTTTTTTAACTACATTTGTTAGTGTAAATTTTTGAGAAAGAGACTCAACAACAATATATTCATTTATTTATTTAATCATTTATTTATTAATTTATTTATTTATTTTATTTGTATATTTATTATTTATTTATATATTCATTTATTTATTTAATAATTTATTTATTAATTTATTTATTTATTTATTTGTATATTTATTTATTTATTTGTTTATTTTAACATTATTTTAAACTTTAATGTTATATGAGAAAAAATATAAATCTCAAAACTATTAAAATTTAAAATAAGTTAATTTTTGTTCAAATACATTGCCATAAAACAAACGTGTTTGTATTGAAAATCCAAAAAATAAGTATTACTTATTTATTCTTATGCAAAAAAAATTTGTTATTATAGAAATATTATAAATTATAATTGAAAATACAGTAAGAAAGTAATATGTCTGAATATTTTATATTCTACTTTAACACTGATTTAAACCCTATTTTCTTTTGTTTGAATTTTTTTTTTTTAATGTAATTCTGAAATATAATATATATATCTTTTATCTTTAAAATATAATATATATCGTGACCCTATATTCAAAAAGTGCGAACTCAATTTTGGGCAAAGTGAGTTTTTGATGCAAAAGGATTCCTCAATGCATGATCCACGTCTGGTATAAATTTGAAACCAAAAAAGTAATTTTTGCACTTTTAACAACAATTTTTGTTAATATGCTATCTCAAAGTTAAATTTTATTGAAGAAAATAAGTGCTAACTTCCATACAAATTTTACAACATTTTTTAAAACTTCAAATTTGTTTAAAATTTATTTTGTATATTAACAAGATGAACATGCTGAACACAAAACAGGTGAAGATTAATAAATTGAATGTATAGTTTTTAAGATATGATCATTTATATATTTGTATATAAAGCCAGTTTTAGACTTTAAATAATGTTTTTCCGAAAAATGTAAAGTTATTTCAGAAATCGTTTATAACACTAAGATCTATAATATTCTA